AATGCAGGGACATTTTGGTTTTCTCATTGGGAGAAAGAATTTTCACTAATAAGCACATTCTTCTAATCTGGTTCCTCACATAAACAAGTCTTTCCTTCTGCAGTCTAGATGTGGCTCTGAAGTCTGCCACGTTTTGAAGACCCAACACCTGGGGTCTCAAATTTATGGCCCCGCAGGCTATCCACAGCCCAAGCAGTTTCACAGTCCAGCCCGGGAGTCCCTGCGACCCAAGGATATGTGTCCATCCCTATCCCCCAAACCCTTTTCCCCCCTTCTCACCTCAATTGTATTTCTTCCTCAAGCCCCCTTCCCAAGGAACGCAGCCTTGGGGGCTACCAGGGGTAGGGCACTGGGGTGGGGTGGGCAGCAGACGTCAGGGCCCCCATACTCACTCGCTCGGTATATGTAGCCTCCGGCAAGTCACTTATTGTCCCCATTACAAAATTTCCATCTGCAAAATAGGTGTAATAATACCTTGATCACATAGATGTTGGGTGGGTAAATTAGCCTAATTTTGTACAGTGCTTTGAGGAGCCTCAGTACTATATAGGTGCAAAATATTGTTATGCCATTTTCTAACAGAAATTGGTTGACTTTGGCTAAAATTTGAACAAATTTTAACTAGAAACTTTCAAGATAAGTTCAAGTGATAATTTAAACCAATGGTTTGGCTGTTGAAGATGATCCTCTGTGCAGGTTGTACAACGAGGACCAGGAAAGGTGATCCCCTTACTAGTGGCATTAGTCTTACCCTATATATAGTGTATATATGTACATATACTTATAGTTCTTATACTCTGTGGCTACATCTAGACTGGCATGATTTTGCGGAAATACTTTTAATGGAAACATTTTTCCGTTAAGAGTATTTCTGCAAAAGAGCATCTAGATTGGCAAGGACGCTTTTGCGCAAAATCTTGACAGTCTAGACGCATCCTGTGTGTGTATGTAAATATACAGAATGCATACATACACATACAGTGTGGATATATATATATATACACACTGTGTGTGTATGTAAATATACAGAATGCATACATACACATACAGTGTGGATATATATATATATACACACTGTGTGTGTATGTAAATATACAGAATGCATACATACACATACAGTGTGGATATATATATATATACACACTGTGTGTGTATGTAAATATACAGAATGCATACATACACATACAGTGTGGATATATATATATATACACACTGTGTGTGTATGTAAATATACAGAATGCATACATACACATACAGTGTGGATATATATATATATAGGAAGTATTTACATTTTGGATATGAAGAAATATTCATATCTTTCCAAGGACCTTTGCGTTCAGCTTCCTTGGAAAGTAACTAAATCCATGGAAAAACAACGCTGCTTTGTAAATAACTATAAACACAATTGATCTGCTGTAGGTTCTGTTTTCATCCACACTTCTGAGCACTTTAATAACTAATCAGCTAACTAGAGTTTGTATATTGAATAAATGTTGTATACTGATATTTAACCAGCCTGATCAAATTTTAAAAAATTGAAAACATGTAAATAGTGTTAAAAAAAAATATGTTGTATTCTTGTCATTGTGCCATTTTGATTCCCAGCATGATGGCATTTCCTTTATTTGTGAAGTATAAAACTACTGAAGGTTCATATGTCACTACCATCACCTTAAAAATTATTTTTATCCATTTTGAAAATGGTCTATTAGATACCGAGAGATATGAAGCAGTGTTTGTGCAGCTGCTAAGGAGAGATTCATATGCCACCCAGCTGATTAGCAGATCACCTACAGCTGCAATTTTTTCTAGTGATGGTACATATTTGCACATGACTCTGTGCACATAAAAAATATTCTGCACATGGATGGAAAAGATCTGCACATGGATGGAAAAGATTAGAACACTGAGGTGAAGGAAAATCTGATGAGGACTGGATGGTAGACTAATGCAGCATCTCATGCTAGCAACCAACATTTCTATTTTTGGGGAAATTAGGATTTAGGGACAAGTTCAGCTTTATGACAACCTGTGCTAGATATTCAAGAAACGAATAATGTTCTTGTTCTTACTGTTAAGAATGTACTGTATTTAAGCTTCTTTCAGTATTGTTACTCCAGTTGCTTAGTAGCCCAATTTAGGATGCCACCTGAACAGAGTGAGGTACAGGTGAAAATCTAGTTCAGTAAAGGTAAAAGGCACCTGGAATGCAAAGAAAGTGACTGCCTACACATCTAGCAAAGAGGAGAACTATGCACTGGTTCTCAGAGTTGACTGTTTGGTTGCCCTACTTTTAGATGACATGTTATCCTGGAAGGAGAAAAGTGGGATGGACAGGAAGAAATAATTTAAAGTCTGTTAAAAATATTTATATACCTCAATAGACGCTTAGCACATTTACTCCTGATAAGCCAAATTCAGACTGAGAAAGTGCATGTGTTTCCAGTGGCGCACCTGTTTCCTCCAGGTGAATTTGGCCCAGTGAGCTTTTAACTTGTCACTCTTGTGCATGGTTTATGTGAACCAGCTGTGGGGATTTACAACATTATTCATAGTACTACAAAATGTGTGGTGTGCCACCTCTCTAGCTTCCAGAAAAGAGACATTGTCCTTAAATGAATAAAAACCTGGCCTAGGTTCAGCCCTACAGCAGGCTGTGTGCGCCCAACATCTAGCAGGAGATGCACACACCTTGCAGCAGATGGGAGGAAACATTTGGGACACAACAGAGTGAGTAAGTCTGTAGGATAAACAAGTAATTAGTGCAGGAAGTGACTTTTAACACTGTATTATTGATAGAAAAGCAACTGTGTGTTCAACATCAATATGTACTAGCCTGAGTAGACAATATCGTTTGATTAATATCAGTATTTTCCCTGAGGGACGATAAATCTTCAGGTTCCCTAAAACAAAAAAACATTTTATATGTTTTATTACATACAATTTGAATGTCTTCATCAGAAGTACCTGGGAATTTCTTCACTATGGCAATGAATGTCAAAAGCTTCCAGTTTTTCTGCTGGAAGTAGCAATGTCATGGGGAGATGAAGTTTGAGGAACAGAAACCTCAAAGAAGTAAATAATCATTTTCATGGAACTCATTGCAGCTACTCAGGATTTTCCATTTTGATTTGGGATCTGATCAGTTAAGGTTACTCCAAATGTCAGTATTATTGATCTGTCCGGAGGTAAACAGTGGAAATGTCACCTGATTTTCAGCCAATGACACTAGAGGTTTTTTTCTCATGTATGTAATTATAATAAAATTTAAGTTCTGATTCTTCCCTGCTTGATGGTCTTCGGTCATTTTTCTTTTTGTGATATGGAGTGAGAGACACTTGAAAAGCTCATTGCAGAACTCGATTCTAAATTCATGCATTCAATTATGACGAGTTCTTCCTAAGGTTTTATAAAGAGGTAAGTTGGTCATTTTCTCCTGGATGAGATCTAATCAGATTTCTCATTTTACTTAAGGTTGCATTTCATCTACAGTTTAATGAAGGATAATCGCTGAGCTGTGACATTCATGCCGCTCTTGGTATTACTATTGGTGTTCCTGATTTCTTATTTGTTCGGGATTTGTTTGGCCATTCATGCTACTCAGGCTAATGAAAGACGTCAGAGTGGTTCTGATGCACAGATATTTGCATTTAGGTTATTTTGGGTTCTATAGAGCAGTTGTGTAGTAGAATACAATGTATTAACTCAAAGGTCAGGCCCACAGCAAAGTGAACTATTCCTTGGAATAGCCTAAATATTTTAGACCCTTTTTCTATTCACAAATAGGTACTGTAGTTATTTGTACAAATTTCTCTCAATTGTTTGAATCCATTTTGGTGAATGCATTTTATATGCTAGGCTATTTGCACAATAATCATTACCATTATTACAGATTTGTAATAAGGGACTGGCCATCTAAATCACATGGTATTGGTGCAGTCCCCTGATTGGACAATATAGCCTTTTCAGTTTATAAATTACTTCTACTTCTAGCTGAAATGGTATTTATGGTGAAAATCATTTTGGGGACAAATTTTAGTTTTTTATTTAAAAGAAAAGCAGCATTGCTACTCACTGAACCCCCATGTAGCCTTAGCTCAGTTTTGATCTCCTGTATACTACAGCCTTGTTTCTCTAAAAGTTTCAGGAAATGTCAGAAATCTTTAGAAAAATGGACTTTTCACTATAGGTGGGTAACTCACAACCCAGCTAGAGAATGGCTGCTATTCTGGTCCTTATCTCCAGAATGGATCACACTTCTGACTGCTGACAATCTCAGATTCCTGTAAATGCTGCACAGTAATTCTGCTGTTAGCCACTGTACTATTCATGTTCTGCTTTCAAAGATTTAACCAGTAGAAATTCCCTTTTTGTTACAATTCTGTTTGAAGAGTCCTACTACCAGACGCCAGCCAGGAGAGATTCAAATGCTGCCTACTTGATTAACAGAGCACCCTTAGCCGGCAATATGTGTTCTTCTTCGGGTAGTCCCCGTGGGTGCTCCACTTCTGGTGTCGGGCTGGTCCCGGCGCCGCAAATCGGAGCTTTACAGAGCTGTGTGTGTGTGTGGTCGGGCAGCGCGCGTGCACTCTCGTTTCGCGCCTTTCATCTACCGCGCGCTGCCCGGCTCCCGCCAGTTCGTCTCACCGCCTATCTGAAAGACAGAAAAAAACAAGATTCCGAAGCAGGGAGGAGGGCGGGTCGTGGAGCACCCACGGGGACACACCTCGAAGAACGATCGTTACTGCACGAAGTGAGTAACTTCCTTTTCTTCTTCGGGTAGTCCCCGTGGGTGCTCCACTTCTGGTGTCGGGCTGGTCCCGGCGCCGCAAATCGGAGCTTTACAGAGCTGTGTGTGTGTGTGGTCGGGCAGCGCGCGTGCACTCTCGTTTCGCGCCTTTCATCTACCGCGCGCTGCCCGGCTCCCGCCAGTTCGTCTCACCGCCTATCTGAAAGACAGAAAAAAACA